AAAACCTTCCCTTTATCTCACACACCGCCCCAGCCACTATCTGATTTCCCTGCTCCACAGTCACAGCCAGATTTATGGAAGGAGTTGGTATCTCCATCTTGGCACCATTCAATCACTCTTAAAATTTTAATTACATACAATTTTGTGATTTCATTGTGCTACATACCAAAGAAACTATGTGACATATGTAAATTATAAAGCATAATAAAAATGAACATCTATGAATCCACAACCCAATCCAACTGTGAAAATAAAGGAAATCTCATTTAAAATGGAGTCAGGAGGCCCTGAAGGGGGAGCTCTCACACACTACCCCTGGTGGTAAGGAGCAGACCTAGCATTCTTCAGCAGGAAACAGCTTACGTTATTTCCATACCCCAGCAGGAAAAAGGAAGAATTCCTCCTTGCCCAGCAACAACCTAGCCAAGGAGAACTAAGCAGAAAAGTCCTTCCCAGCTTCCTCCCTTCCCCCTATAAAAGCAAGCCCCTCTCCTCTGTTCTGCAGACTTGCCTGTTTTGCCATAGTTGGCTCGTCCCAAAATTGCAATTCCTCTGCTGTTCCAGAATAAACTCATTTAGCTGGTAAAATGACCCGTTCTTTTGTTTTTTAAGGTCAACACAATCAAACCTAAGAACTACAACACTGCTAATACTGTTGAATAGACCTATGTGCTCTTCCTCCCCTCTCCTACCCCTGCCTCCACAACTATGAACATTGTAGTCAAACTGTTGAGAAAATCTTAAAAGTAGACAGAAAATAAAGGTCACATTACATTTGGGGGAACAGTAAGAATGATGGCTGCTTCTCATCAGAAACAATGTAAGTCAGAGTGTGGAATGATAGCTCTAAAATGCTAAAACAAACAAAATTCAAGTTGGAATTCTATATCCAGTGGGAAAAAATATCCTTGAAAACTGAAGGCAAAATAAAGATATTTTCAGACAACTGAAGCTGTTGCCAGGAGGTCTGCAATACATGAAATTCTAAAGGAAGTTCTTCGTGCTGAAGGGAAATGATCCTGGTCGGAAATCAGGATGAGAAGAAGGAATGAAGAACATCAGCAACAGTAAGTATGTGGCTAAATACAAACGTCTGGTTTTTGTCTTAAATTCTTCAAAGTGAGGCCACATTTAAGACCTTCTGAGACCAGAAACTAAGAAGATTATGGTGCTCCCGCCCAAGTATAATTCACGATTAAATCTAAAATAAATCATAAGTATAATGAAGTTAATCAAAGTTCTGACTTATCCCCTGGTAACTATTTCAATGCTTTAAAAATAAATGTCATTCTTAATTTTTTTTTTTCTCAACTTTTGGTGCCTCTTCTTGCTAGTGTCTTAAACACACACTTGATTTGATTCCTAGGTTATCCAGCACTGGGTAGCAGCCAGCCAGAGCACAAGCCTCAGAAAATATGCTGCTCTGAATGCATCAAGTAGTGAGAGGGTCATTGCTAGTGAGGACCACCAACCTCCTGAGGTTTCCTGGGTCCTGGGACTTTCAATGCTGAAATGGGACAGTTTTGGGTGAACTGTGATGATTAGTTACCCTAAGTAGGACCCAGAATGAGGTCCTGAGGAGAGAGGTGGCCCTGAGAACAGCAGACAAATAATGGAGTTTTGCTGTGACTAAGAAAAGAAAAATAGCTGAAAAGTATATGAGACTTATCTTCTCAAAACTAGACTTGCCCTTTAATTGAAGTGAAAATTCTTATTTCTCCCTCTCCCACACCTGTGTCTTATGTTTAACAGATCAAAGACAGTAAAGTCCCCTGGGAGCTGGTACCTCCTGAAGGCAGAAACTCAAAAGCAGGAACAGCAGTTCTGCATGATAGCTGAGATGACAGCTCAGAGTGGCCCACAGATTCCCTTCCTGAGGGGCGTGACTCACTGCCATCTCACCCACTTTGCTGGGAGGGGAAGAGGGAAAGGGGGCTAACGGTGTCTAGTTTTTTCCTCTAGAGTAATTCTTGCCTCATTCTATTAGGTAAGAATTATTTTAGCCTGATGTTACTTAAAAGGAAACAGAAACTCGGAAAGGTCAAGTCACTGTTCAAGATCCCTTAATTACTTAGTAGCAGATTCAGTATTTCACCTCGTGGGTGTCTCGCTCAAAAGCTTGTGCCTGGGGGGCGCCTGGGTGGCTCAGTCTTTGGGCGTCTGCCTTTGGCTCAGGTCATGATCCCAGGGTCCTGGGATCGAGCCCTGCATCGGGCTCCCTGCTCGGCAGGAAGCCTACTTCTCCCTCTCCCACTCCCCCTGCTTGTGTTCCTGTTCTCGCTATCTCTCTCTCTCTGTCAAATAAATAAATAAAATCTTTAAAAAAAAAAAAAAAAAGCTTGTGCCTGGTACCTGGATATAGGCCGGAGACTCTAGCATAAATGCTGATGGGGATATATGGGCCATGCAAGAGGAAGGAGATAAGCTGGAGAGCACAAACCAGAGTAGGAATAAAGGCCACAAAAATGCAGAGCTCCTGGGTGGGGGATGGCATCTTTCCTCCTCCAGGAAAGGATTTACAAATCTGATAAAAAATGAGATGTGTGAGAACTTAGATTGATCCATCTGCCAAATAAATGCGATGTCCTGAAAATGGTGCTAGGGAAGTTGAGGGAGAGAGGAGGAAGGAAAGCTAGTAAAAGGATCGGATATGTGATGGCTTCTTTTTAGGACTATACCCCCAGGCTCTCAAGATGCTTCTGGACTGACCCCCGTTGGTCATCAAAGTAGGCTCTGGAAAAGCATAAACAGTGTTTTAAGTGTTAATTGCAAAATGAAACCCATAGAAAGGCAAAGTGGTTAGAAAAATAGTCCAGGGTTATGATTTTAAAGTGGTGTAATGGAAAGCATAGATTTGAAGTCCTATGTTTTAAGTCACTCACTGTTTGGGAGATGCTGGGCAAGTGACTTAACCGTTATGTGTCTTGGTTTCTATATAAAATAGAAATAATATCTGGTGGTCTGTATGGAAAACTCTGAGAGATGCCTGAGTGGTTCAGTTGGTTAAGCGTCTGCCTTCAGCTCTGGTCATGATTCCTGGGCTCAGTGGGGAGCCTGCTTCTCCCTCTGCCCCTCCCACGGCTTGTGCTCTCTCTGATCTCCCTCTCAAATAAAAATAAATAAATAAATAAATCTTAAAAAAAAACAACTCTGAGCTTCAGTTTTCCTTTCTATGAAATGGGGATAACGATATCCCATGGGAGAATTCTGTTGGGAGAATTAAATGAGTTTATACATGAAAGTACTTAATGTCTGGTGCATATAAGCATTAAATATGAGTTAGCTATTACAATTAATAAACAAATATATTTTGTTCAGAGCATGTATTATTCTCTGAAATTATTTTGTTTTTTGAAAAGTTCCATGAGGCAGGGGCTCTGTGCCTAGTTCACCCCTAGGATCTAGAATAAGTGCCTGGCACATGGGCACTATTACAGTTCTTTCCTCCACATTACTGCAATTACTCTTTCAAGATCACCTATGACCATCATGCTGCAAAATCTGACAGCCCATTCTCTATTTAGCACCCTGGGTGAATTCTTTAAAATTTAAAACAGATCTCATTCCCCTGCTTAACACACTTCAAAGAATATCCTTGCATTTAGAATAAAATCTAAACTCTTTTTCATGGTTCTGTGTCCTGTGTGTTCTGGGCTCTCCAGCCTCTCTATGTTCCGGTGCCACTGGCTCTGTGTCAGTTCCTAGATCATGCCAAGCTCTTTCAGCCTCAGGGCCTTTGCATTTGCTGTTCTCTCTGCCTGGAATACTCATCTCCAAGTTCTTACATGGCTGGCGCCTTCACAGTATAGTAGTTAGGACACAGACTTTGAAAACAGACTGCTTAGATTCCTATTTTGGCTCTATCACTTAACACCTGCTTGAGGCAAGATACTTCACCTCTTTGTGCCTCAGTTTCTTCCTCTTAAAATAGGGATAAAATATGTACCTCATTAGGTTGCTGAATGTAAAGCGTTAATACAAGGTGCTTTGAACAGTGCCCTGCAAGCACCACCATGACCACCATCTTTCAGCTTAAACACTGCCTCTTCAGAGAGACCCTGTTCTTTATCAGAACACCTACTACACGGGCGCCTGGGTGGCTCAGATGGTTAAGTGTCTGTCTTCGGCTCAGGTCATGATCCCAGGGTCCTGGGATCGAGCCCTGCATCGGGCTCCCCCTGCTCAGTGGGAGACCTGCTTCTCCCTCTCCCACTCCCCCTGCTTGTGTTCCCTCTCTCTGTCAAATAACTAAATAAAATCTTAAAAAACAAAACAAAACACCTACTACTCATCACTGTCTGTAAATATTTTTTTTGTTTACTCTTTGTGCTCCACAAAGACAGGGAATTTGTCTTATTTACTACTGTATGCTCAGAACCTAGCGCAATGCCTGACACAGGGTAGGTACTCTAGAAATATATGCTGAATGATTACAAAAGTAGTTATTATTATTTCTTGCCACCTGCAAGAAAGGTCTGGTGCTGTGCCAAGGAGGAAAAGAGGAGAGCTGGGATCTGTAACCAGCTAGGTCAGCTGAAGGATGAACAGTTACAAGGTGTTCTGTAAACAACAAACGGGTATAGCCCTGATACTGTTCTCTTCCTCCAGACCTTATTCATCTCTCACCGTGTGCGGAGGCTGCGTCTCCTGTTTGAAGCTTCCTCTGCTCATGCCCACCTTGGCTTAGTGGAGCTCCCACAGCACTCAGTATTCATTTCTTGGCTGAGTCCTGTTTTTAATGTTTCTGCCACATATCTGTATCTTGGCTGATGATGCCCTGCTCTTAACACATTTACTCTTCCTCATTTTGTGCCTAGTTCACCCCTAGGTGAACTCCTTGTATGCTGCTGGGCCTCCAGAATGTGCTCAGCACAAGCTTGGAGAGTGACTAGTGCTGCTGCCTTGTCAGGAAGCTGGCCCAGGGCAGCTCTGCATTCTGCACATGCTTCCATGGAAGAGATGAGGACTCTAGGGAAGGGAGGTCAGCCGGCTGTTCTTACCTGGTCTGTTGTGGCTGGTGGTGGCAAAGCTGCAGAGAATGACAGCATCCGCAGGGAGGCCTCCAACTGCTGGGGAGGCAAAAAGAAGTTGGGCACCACAATGGGCTCCGGCCTAGACGGTAGTTAAGGGACACAGTTACCTAGAAATCTGCCCCCTTGCCAGACTGGCTTCTCCCCTGGGCTTAGTCACCCCCACTCATTTCCCCCAACTTCTTCTTGCCCATGACACCTCTGCTCCACTGGTGCCTTCTGCCTGGAAGACCCTGCCCACCCCTAACAAATCACAGTCTATACTTTCTGTAAGGGTTAGTTAAAATCCTCTTCTTGGAAGCCTCTTCTAATGTCAGCCCACGGACATCCCTCCTTCCCCGCGGTCTGCTACACAGGCTAATGCTTGTTTTACTCTGCTAGGACTCTTGATTTGTCTCAGCATTCCTTCCAGAAGCTTCTCAAAGGTACGGGCGATGTAGTTTCCTTCAGTTACCTCACTACTTCCCTAGAACCCTGTATGAGGCTGGTAGGCAGCAACATTTCAGTGACACTTGCTGAGGGCCTGCTGACCCAAAACTGCCCTGTGAGAAGTCAGTCAGACAGGGTCGGGGTGGGAAGGTGGCTCCAAGGGCAGTGTCCTCCCAGCTGTTCTCTGCCAACATCCAGGAATGAGGATTCTACATAAGGGGCTGTCTGTGGGTACAGCTCATCCACGCAGTCTGCACCTGAGCCCTAGAAGCAAGTACCACATCTTGTACTTCTCTGTATCCTCTGATGTACCCAGTACTGTGCCGAGAACACAGTGTTCCAAAAACATTTGTTCATTCAAAGCACTGTTTTCGGTTGGGAGGGGACTATTTTGATGTTCTAATTTTTTGTTTCTGTTCAATAAGCTAAACATGGTTCTGGTTCAAATTGGTTTATCAGGGTTCTTCTAGGCTAGACTTTGAACTCCCAAGAGGGTAGAGATGATCGATCTCTTTTTCATAGTCCTATTCCTGTCACCTGGGATACAGCAGGCGTTCAGTAAGTATCCACTGAATGAATGAAAGGCATCATTTCCTGCCTTGGCTCAATTCCCTGATTCTTCTCTAGAGAGGTGGGGGTGGAGATGGAGATCCGGAGGGGGAAGAACCCTTTTACCCAAGCCTCCGTCAGAGGCCCAAGTGAAGCAGGCCCTGGCTGCTGTGGCCGCTCTGACCACTGGGGACTGTGCCACTTAGCTGATGCTGTGGGGAAGGGAAAGCTTTGCTAAGGTGTCACCGGTATGTCCGGAGCACCAAAGCTCCCCCTCTCAGCCTCCTGCCTCTCTGAGGGTCCTGCTCCTACAGTCACCTCTGTCATTTTTTAGACAGTGACTTCAGGAAAATTCATTTTTTGCACCTATTTCTTCCCCTGTAGAGTGGATATAGTAATAGTACCTTTTGAGGATTACATGGCTTTATATACACAAGTACTTAGAATAGTGCCTGACACATCAAATGTTCATTAAATGTCAGCGATTCTTATTTCCCTGGTTAATGGGAAAAAGTTGCCTATTCTTGCTGTCCTTACCACTCCGGTTCCCTCCACCACTGAAGTCTGCCTTCCGTTCCCACCTCTGCACCGTCCTCCTTAACGCTAAAGCCACCATCAGTCCACATCCTACTGGACCTGTCTTAAGTGTCAGAGCACTGACCACTACTCCCGGACACTCTGCTCCTGCCCTGCCTCCGTCCTGCTTTTCCACCTCTGACCAGCTCTCCTTGCCTCCTCTGTGGGCGTGTCTTGTTCTGCGCTTTACGTACTGGTGATCCATTTTGGGTGTGTGCTCCATTTTGGTGTGTGCTTCTCCCTTTCCATGCCCTCCCTGCTGCCCTTATCTGTTTCCAGAGGCACCTACCTTTATAGCTGGCCTCCTCTTGGATGTCTTCCAGGCAAACATATCCAAAACGGAAATGTGTACCTTCCCCCGAAACTGTCTCTCTTTATGTGCTTTCCCTATCCAGTCAATCACCTTGCTTACCTAGCACTTGAGACAACTCTGTCATCCTTTCTATTTTCTTCTTTCTCTTCCCTACCCCTATCTAATTCTCTCAAATCTGTGCCCCTCCTCTTCATCATAAAGCAGTCCATGCTTTAGGTCACATTTCTTCATCTTTTATTATTATTGCAAGTTTCCCACCTTGTCTCCTTGCTTCTGGCCTTCCCTTCATCTAATCCATAATCCACCCTCTACAAGGCATTGCGTGACTTTTCTAATATGTAAACCTGACCAATCACACTCTTGCTTGCTTACCAGTTAACATTTCCTGAACACTATGGTACCAGGCACTTTGCTAGGTAGTTTAAACTGTTAATTGACTTTTCACAATAACCCCACAAGAGAAGTACTATTATTACTTCTGTTTTAAAGATAAGGACACTGAAGTTTAATTTGCTTACAGGATAGAGTCCAAGCACCTTAGCCAGGCATAAAAGGCTCTTTCAGAGGCAGCCCTGCCTCACCTCTCACCATCCCACATACCCCTGGGCTCTAACCAGAGTGAACTGCTGCCCATAGGCCAGGCTCTTTCACCTGGCTATGCCTCTGTACACACAGTTCGCTGTGACTAGAACTTTCTCTCATCTCTGCCTACAGAATGCCTATTCATCTTTGAGGTCCAGCTCTACTGTCTCTCTTGTTGGGATGCCTCCAAACGGTATTAGGGCAGCTTCTTCCTCTTGCTCCTTAGCATTCTGTCCATGTTTCATCACAGCACTTAGAACAAGAAATTGTATCATTGCCTGTCCCTGCCTCTTAATGGGAACTTCTGAGGTAAGGTCTAATTCAAATCTGTCTTCAGTAGCAGCACACAGCCTGGCAATACCCATTTTTTGGAAGAATGAATACTTGGGAGGTCCGAATTAGAGTAGTACCCCGGGGACCTGGGCACAGACCGCTCCAGCAGACTGTACATTCTGAGCATAACTAAACAGCAACGTCAGAAGCCAGGATGAGTGAGGCCAGGAAGGAACTCCACTGAAGGCGACCTGCTTTCAGTGCTCACCCTCCAGCCATTTCATGGTTTCCGTCTTTCCTGAGTCCCCACCGCCTACCCTTTAGTTTCTCTCTGCTTTGCAACGTGAATCACATTTGTGTAGTGGGTACTCATTTAATCTCCTCAAGAATCAATTTGATTGGATTTTCTCAAGAATCCTGTGAAATTATGATAGTTCAATTCAATCTATATTTACTGAGCCCCCCTCTGTGTTATGTCTGGTGCCGGGGACACAGAAAAAGACAAGGTCCCTGACCTACGTCGGGAGTGTACAGTCTGGTGGGTAAGGGATTACTGTCTCCGTCTTACAGGTGAAGAAACTGAGGCTCAGAAAAGTTAAATTGTAAGTCTGATGTCACACAAGTAATAAGAAGCTGGGTCTAGAAGGGTCAAGAACAGGCCCCCTGGCTTCTGGTAGAGAAAGATCTCTTCAGTGAAACAGCCTCCTTCCTCAGCAGCTGCGCAGTAACCCCTGCTTGCTGCTGCGCTGCCGAAGGTCCTGAGTGGTTTCTTTTTCCCATAACACGTCCATCTGTGTTTCAAAGCAGGAACGGGGGGAATGTTAGGTGTCCCTTCCTCCCATTAACACTGCCATTCTGGAGGGGGAGGGGGAGTTGGGCAAGTCCATTTCAACTGCGCCCACTTCCTCTCTCCTTTTCCCTACCACTTGCCTTTTTTCTAAAAAAAAAATTGAGGCAAGTTACCGTAACTTTGAGCCTCAGTTTCCCTACATGCAAAACAGAAATGATGACACCGACCTTCTAGACTTATGACGACTGAACGAAAAAGGTATGTGAAGTGCCTGGCACATAGTAAATGCTCAGTCAGTGCTGGTACTCTCCTTTCCCCTCTCTCTGCACCCTTTACTTCGATTTCACCTGAGATTAGTGGTCTCATTCCTTACATCCAGAACACTGCCTTCAAGTGTAAAACCCCCAAGAGATTGATCCAGTAAATCAGGCTGGGCTAGGCTAATGAATGTGCTACTCACCCTTAAACCCAATTCAAAGCATATTATGCTTCAGAGGGCGGTGCTAACAGTAGCATCATAGCTCCTTATTCGCCCCAGCATCTTCTGAAGGAAGGGGCTTCCTGTACCTCCCAGTGCATTACATGAGGGAGGCCACTGCTCACACTCACACACACACACATACACACTAGGCTGGCCTAAGTGCCAGCATCCAAAATGCCTACAAATGGCTCAAGGGGGCGCTACTTGTTGGAAATCCCAAAGGATACAGGAGGCTCTGCCTTGTGGACACCTCTGATCCAGATGTTGCCTGCTTCTGCCTGATGTCAGGGCAGCTGATGGGTAGCGCCCGATGGCTTTCCTTCCTGCTCTGGGAGGCTAGGTGGAGAGGGAATTTCTCGAAGCTATCAGCAGAATCACTTAGTTCACTGGAGGCAGCCTCATGCTCAGTCTGGGCCTCTGGCTTGGGCTCCTGGTCCTGATCTGCTCTTGGTGAGCTCAATCCAACAGAAGTGCTGCTCTGTTGGGCTCCTGAGAGTGTCACTTGTGAGACGAGTTGACGGTCTGCTGAAGCAGGCTCTCCATCCCTGGCATGAGAGGCTTCAGCCTCACAAGCAGTAAGACTTTGGCTAGGAGAACCCTGCCTAAGCAGGTGGGGGTGGACCGCCCTTCCTGGGCCGGGCAGAGGGCTACTTTTGCCCTTGAGCTCCTCTCTGGGGAAACGCTTTGAAGAAGGACAAGAAGGGCCTTCCTTATGCACCTCATCGGGCTGAAGGCTGATGATCTCACTTGCGTCTGACATGAAACTGGACCAAGGGCTAGTTTTGTCTGTCACGGTGGTGATGTCATTGAGTGTCCTGGGCTCAATGAGGTCTTCTTCATAGTCCTCATCACTGTAGGCTGGGCCTGCCTCAGTTTCCTCACTGCTCTGCATCCTTGTAATGGGTACTGTGTGCCCCAGGGACTCACGGAGCATTCCTCTTCCGCTTGAAGTCTCTTCAAGAGTAGGGGGAGTTAGGTGGTTTCTGCCCTCATCCGGAGCTCTTGCCAATGGCAGGTCTGGAGTTGTGCTTCGTTCCTGCATGGCCACTGTGTCCTGAGCATCTGGTAGGGTGGGAACGTCTCCGCTTCTACTCCGGGCTCGGTGAGAACTCAAAGATGCTTGAGAATTCTTGGTGATGGTCTGCAGATCTGAACAGCAACAGATATCAGTCTAACTACAAGATAGGGCCACAGACCACTCAATTTTCCCATGCTAGGCTCTAGCTTCAGATGTATTCTTGCAATCAGACTTTGAACAAATCTTAAAGATGGTTAATCCACTCGAATCAGTGAAACTATATGCAAGGCAGTATATAATTTCTAGCACTTTATTCTAACATCAGAGGACCAAAATCTAATCTGTTTATAGTTGTGGTTACATCGCTTTCAGAGACTATCTGCTCATGCTCAGGAATTCTTGGGAGCTAGGAGTCCTGGCGGGCATGTTCATGCTTCCATTTACTTCAGTAATTACCTATATTAAAAATCAAAATGAGAATCTACTTATTTACCTATTTGATGACAGTTATTATAGAACTATATATTTTACTTGGAAAATAAAAGCAAGTCATCTATCACCCAAATGGTAAGGCAGGGGAGGTTTACAGAGAAAATGGAGGCAGCATGGTGTGTGGAAAGAGCAGAGGCTTTGGGGGCTGGTCAGTCTTGGGTTCAAATCTCTACTGTCACTTATCAACTTTGTGGTCATGAGCAAACTATCCTCTCTGAACCTGTTTATCTTTAAAATGTGATTAACAGGGGGGTGGGGGATGGGGTAACTGGGTGATGGGCATTAAGGAGAGCATGTGTGGTGATGAGCCCTGGGTGTTATATGCAACTAATGAATCTTTGAACACTACATCAAAAACTAATGATATACTATATGCTGGCTAATTGAACATAATAAAAATAAATATATAAATAAAAATTTAAAAAAGTGATTAACCACCTTCACACAGGGTTATGGTAAAGAATACATGTGATAAATGGGCATATGTGGTGTGGCACATGTATAAACAATAAATGGAAGCTACCAGTCATTTCAAATTATTTTGCAGTTAAATGGGGGGCATAAATAAATAGGCCTAGTAAGTGGTTTGTCTGCATGGTTATTTAAGAAGAGAAAGTTAGGAATTGGGAGGCAAATTTGACTCCTGGTGTGTGGGGTCACATCTCCCTCACTGCACCTAATGGCATCTTCAGCCTATAGGAGATATGGGCTGAATTTAATACATTAACAATTTTCATATCTCAAAGGGGAGTAGATGTATGAGTACGGAACATCCCTACCTGCAAACAGGAAGAGGAACCAGGAAGCAGGTTAGTTAATCCTGATCCCTTGGCCTGAACTATCCTTTCTGTCTTGGAGCAGTCTTTCTGCTTTTTACAAACCAGCCCGTCCTTCAAGGCCCTGCTCTACTGCACCTCCTCCAGGAAGCCTTCCTGGGTACGCCAGCTGGATGGGATGGCTAAACAGTGTTGTTCTATAAGGAAGCACTTAAGATGCTACTGTGTATGTTTCCCCATCAGACTGTGGGCTTCTCAAAGGCAGAAACCATGTGTTTGATTCATGTTGCATTTTTAGAGGCCAGCAAAGGACCTGGCACATAGATGTGGCATAAATGAGATCCCTACTCAGTAACTCACTCTCAAGCTTCATTTGTATCTACTTGTCTAATGACTTCTTCAAAAGTGTACTGAGAAGTGATGGAGGCTGGGGGAGTTTATTTATTTGAACTGTTTTCTTCGATCCAATCATCTCTCTCATTCTCTCTCCTCTTTTAATATACCCATTTGGAGGGTTCCCAATTTGCTTTCACCTCTACCCCGAACAAGCCTCCCTCTGTTTTGCTCTTAATGCTTTCTTTCTGGGGGGCAGTTTCTTCAGTTGACTATAGAATGTACGCTTGATGAAAGACAATTCCCGTCTTGTCCACCACTTTATCCTCCTAGAACTAGTAACACATAGTGCCTGGCATAGTTTGTGCTCAGTAAATAGATGACTGAATATTTCCAAGCAAGTAGAAGCCAAATACAGCATGTACCTCTGGAGCCCTGGCTACCAACAGGTCAGCCCTCTGGGAAAGAGGATAAGAAGGAAGTTTGTACCTAATATCAATCATGGTGGCTTCTTTCCCCTTTAAACAGAGAAAACTGAACTTATTCATCCCTGTGTACAATATACATCTTCTGCTTGAACAAAAATGACACCAAAGTGATGGCTAAAGGTACTGCTCTAATTGTTTTCTCACTATTCCCCTACCGTGCCTGCTATATAAGTTCCCAGGTCTTAACCCTGCATTCTGATTCAAATGAATGGAGCAAGACCCAGGTGATTTTTTAGGTGATTTTTATATGTTCAGGCCAAGTTTGAGAAATACTTATTCTACAGCAGTCTCTGTCTGGGCTGCACAGTGGAATTACCTGGGCAGTTCTGAAAAACACTGATGCCTGGGTCCCACCTTCAGAGATCCTGTTGCAACTAACCTATGGTGCAGCCTGGGCATCTGCATTTGAAAAGTTCCCTTAAGAACTCCAATATGCAGCCAAAGTGAGGACCACTGCTTTAAGGGGTTTTTCAAAGGGTCGACTATGGACCACCAACATCTAGAGTCATCTGAGGTACCTGCTAAAAATGCGGACTTCTGCCTTCTGAGAATTACAATTTTAAATAGGTCTAGTTGATTTTTTCCTGAGAACAGAGTGGCGCAAGCTCAAGAACTGCTACTGAAGAACTTACCTAATCCACTCTTGTTTTTTTTTTTTTTTTTTTGGCTGGGGAAGCCTCAAGAAGGGAAAGGGGTGAGGGTAGGTGGTATCATATAGTGAGCCTGAGCCAGAAAGCCACCAAAGACCTGACTCGGGTCTCCTGCCTCTCAGTCCGACGGTCTCTCCATTTCACACGTCCCTGTGCTGTGTTATTATTACACCTCTCCTTCCAGAAGGAAGACGGTAAATAAGTAAGACAGTGAAAGCTGTTGGTCTCTATTTGTCATAGGGGCTTTTATGAGGGCTGATATTCAAATGCTTTTTGAACAGGCACCCAGTGAGCGTAACTCCTCAACAAGAGGGGCCCTGAGCCATACCCGTGATTAAGGAGCTGACTTGCAACACCAGGTTATTGGATTTCTCCAGGATGCACTGGCTCTCTGGGTCTAGGCTGCTGTCTCCGGGCCCACGATGGTCCCTGTGGCTCTCCGGACACTGCAAGATGGTATGAGTCTGAGCACTGAGGGGAAGTAAAGGCTTGGTGAGCTTCTGACTGAAGTACTGCTGGATCTGATCTAGCTCATTCAGATTCCTCCTGTAAAAAAAGAAAGGGAGAAGAGGACAAAAGTGTCATTCCCTGGGATTGCAAGCATCTTTTTCATTTCCCTGGCATTCTACTGCTTGAGCTAGGACCTTAGTACTTCTCACTTGGTCTGTTAACACTAGGACCCTACCCTCCTGCTCTAAGCCACCAATTCATCTTTCATTTGACTACAATCCTGCTGCTGGGGACAACCTTCCCCTCCTTCTGTCTGGCTAATGAGATTCCTCTTCTGATGTCCAGCAAAAACCCCACCTCCTGTAGGGAAGGAACCATTCTTGACTACCATCCTCTTACTCTGACAGAGGAAGGCCTTACTCTGGACTAACACTGACCTTTGCTACCTCATAACCATTCCTGATCCTTCAAGTAAGTGACCTCTCCTAGCAAGTCTTCCCTGCACCTCTAAACTGGTTTAAGAAGTCCCCCTTTGTGCTCCACAGTTCTGTACTCTCCAATCACATCTATTTCCCCTGATGTACTGTGAGCTGTGTGCTGACTCCTTTCTATCTACTGTACCCAGCATAGTGCTTTCTCCATGATCATAGATGGGCCCTGTCCCAACTAGGTTCACTTTGGCCTCATACCTCTGAATGCTGGAACCTGAGTTCAAGCTACTCCCCTTGCTGTGTCCCTATGCTCTTTAACTTTTAAAGTACTCACATTTCTCCTTTCCAAAGTCCATCAACCCAAATCCTTGGGCCACCTCTCCCTTAAACTCCTTCACTCTTGGCATCTCCATCAGCCTTTTGTCTTAGATTTCCCCTTAGTTTTCTCATTACGTGTCAGTTTCCCAAACTAGGCCATGAGCACTTGGTGACAGAAGACAGTATTTCAAACTTCTCTATTTCTTTGGTTCACTCACTGTGCCTGGTACACTACAACACAGACGTTAAGTACCTGTGAGGTAAACTGAAAGTCTCTCTGTCCTTTGTTAGCAACAGTTTGCATGTTCTACAGTCAAATACAAATTAAATGAGGGAGCACGGTGCTGATCCTTAATCTGTCACTAGAGGCCATGACTCTCAAGTCACGGTGGATTTAGGTGTCTACATCTGGGTGAACACCACATGCTACCTGTAGCAGGAACATGCAAAACAACTGTGAACTTGGTGGAACTTTAGAAAATGTGCATACCCAACTGGCCTTGTCAGAGGTTTTGGGTATAGAACCTATTAAGACTAAGCTGCAGTTTTCTCATCTGTGAAAAGGTTTATTAATATTTGCTCTGCAGGTCTCATACAAGTGCTGTGATTCAAATGAAGCAATGTTTTAGGGCTCTGTGAACCCAAGGAAGTCATGTAAAATTGGTATCTTGTTTCATCTCCATTTGGTAGAGAATTCATCTACTAGCAGTTTTCAAAACCTGGTTCTAGGTCTAGCACATCAGCATCATCTGAGAACTTACTAGAAATGCTAATTCTCAGGCACTACCCTAGACCTTCTGAATCAGGAACTGTATGGGTGGGTCCAGCAGCTGCTGTTTTAACAAGCTCTTCATGTGATTCTGATACGCACTAAGTTTTTTGAGAACCACTGCTCTAGGGCAGTGGTTTATAGCCTGGCAATTTGGCCCCAAGAAGTCTTTTGGCAATGTGTGGAGACATTTTTGGTTGTCACAATCAGGGGACGGGTGCTACTGGTATCTAGTGGATATAGGCCAAGGATGCTGCTAAATATCCTACAATGCATAAGACAGGCCCCCTACAGCAAAGTATCCGGTCCAAATGTCAACAGTGCGGACTTGGAGAGAAACTGCTCTAGGGTGCAGGACACTTTCTTTTCTTTTCTCAGCGAATTCTAAAATATGTTATGTGAATGACCCAATAAAATGCAGCCACACTATTAATGGTTTTACTTAAATAGCCTCCAATCTCTAGCTGAGAATCTAAAATGAGAATCTGAACCTACCACTTCCTTGTAATTATAAAAGTCTGAACAGTTTCCCATAGTCTATAGCATGACTGTTCAATTCTTTTTTTTAAAAGATTTTTTATTTATTTGACAGAGAGAGACACAGCGAGAGAGGGAACATAAGCAGGGGGAGTGGGAGAGGGAGAAGCAGGCCTCCCGCCGAGCAGGTAGCCCGACTCGGGGCTCGATCCCAGGACCCCGGGATCATGACCTGAGCCGAAGGCAGGCGCTTAACGACTGAGCCACCCAGGAGCCCCTGTTCAATTCTTTTTAACCCATGTTCCACCAATCAAAAACATTTTGCCAATTCTTTTCTGAGTTTGCTTTATAAAACCAAGTAATAGGTTCGTTTTTCCAAATATAAAATCTGTCAAATATTTTTTCCTCAAGTTTTACACACTCTCTTCCTCCTCTCCCCATCACTTTCCACTTGAGAAGCATTTGTTCTAAAAGTCCAAACTCTTAGCTGACATTTAGGGCCTTCAAGATGGCCCTATAGAAACTTACCCGGCTTTTTACATCTTTTTTTTTTTTTTTTTAAGATTGATTTATTGGAGAGAAAGAGAAAGCATGTAAGTAGGAGGAGGGGCACTGGAAGAGACTCTCACACAGCCTCCCCACCATGCGCAGAGCCCTAAGTGGGGCTCGATCCCACAACCCAAGAGGTCTTGACCTGAGCTGAAACCAAGAGTCAGACGCTCAACTGACTAGGCCCTCTGCTCGTTACATCTTATGCTCAGCTGTATCCTGTTACTGCTGGTCTTCCTCCAAACTTCACTTGCTGTTTCATGCCTCTGGGTCTTACCATGTTTTCTGCATAGAATGTCCTTCACATTTATTGACCTGCTCCTTCAAAGACCAGTGCAAGTGTGACTTCTTTAAATCTTCCCATGACCAACTTAGAATGTTACTCATTCCTCCATCTACCCTTTGCTAGAAAACCTGCAGCTCTTATCACATGTCATTATAATGATCCGGCAACAGGCTATCTCCTCCTCTGGGAATGGCAGAGCCAGGATCGGAAGCTAAGGCTACTGGACTCTGAAGCCAAGACCTTTTCACAGCACCACACTTCTTACTAGATAACCCAGGGGCTGACTCAGATGATCCAGAATGGCTCTTTCAATTCTCACAGGGCTCCTCTGGCTCAGATGCTGACGAAATTAAGAAAGAGACAGGGAAGCATTAACAGGACATGCTGGTCTGGAAGAATTCAGTGGTTGTGAGAAGAAAGATAGTGGGCAGGATGAGGCTCTGTAAATTTAAAGTAGGTATGAAGCTGTATAGATGTGAGGGTGGTTATTACGTTTGGTGAATAACCTCAAGTTCCTGTGTTAATAGGTATGAGTAATAGAGCCCATGAAGGAATGGAAGGCCTCAAGCTTGAGAAAGATTGATCTATGAGGAACCCCAAGAGGGTCCAGGGTCCAATTCAACACTAACCTAGACAAAAACCCCTCCTAAGCCTCCCAGGGCAGCGGCAGTGGACAGAAAAGGACAGAAAAGCAGTCCTGTCGGCTGCCACTGCCCATTACCTTGTGCTTCACTATGGTTTCCTGTGTCTTTTCCCAGCACAGGGCCTTACCTGAGAGAAGTCAGAATGGAAGTACGGGAGGACAAAGGCAATGTGGTCAGTTTGTCATCACGTGGCAAAACTGCCTCTCCCTGCTGCAGGGATTCATGAAACCGGCGGATATTCTGCACATGCTCTTCATGGCGTGATGCCTGACTTCTTGCGGTACCACTTCTGCCAGGAATAAATGGGGCCAAAGTAAATTCCTAACCAATAAGAAAACTCCTAATGTGACAATCAACAAATAACCTTCCTAAAATGATATTGCAAATCCATCCCCATTAACACAGTTCTGGCTTTGTTAATTCTTGCTTGGATTACAACTCTCTTCCAGATAATCTTGCCTTCAGTCTTACTCCTTTATTCTTCTCTCTCTTTTTAAATTCTAATTCTAGTGTAGTTAACATACAGTGTTATATTAGTTTCAGGTGTATAATAGAGTGATTTAACAGTTCCATACATTACTCAGTGCTCATCAAGATAAGTGTATTCTTAGTCCCCTTCACCATTTCACCCATTCCCCAACCCATCTCTCCTCTGGTAACAATCTGTTCTCTAGAGTTGAGAGTCGGCTTCTTGGTTTATCTATTTTCCCCTTTGTTTCTTAAAGTCCACATAGGAGTGAAATATGCTATTCATCTTTGACTTATTTTTTTAGCATTATACACTCTAGATCCATCCATGTTGTTCCAACTGGCAAGATTTCATTCTTTTTAATGGTTGAATAATATTCCATTGTGTATGTGTGTATATATGTATGTATACACACACACACACACACACACACACACATCTTTATCCATTCATCTATGAATGGACACTTGGGCTGCTTCCATAGTTTGCCTATTGTAAATAATGCTTCAATAAACATGAGGCATTTGCCCTTTGAATTTGTGTTTTTGTATCCTTTGGGTAAATACCCAATAGTGTGATTCCTCAATCATAGGGTAGTTCTATTTTTGTTTTTAAAGATTTTATTACTTATTTGAAAGAGAGACACAGCGAGGGGGGGAACACAAGCAGGGGGAGTAGGAGAGGGAGAAGCAGGCTTCCCGCCGAGCAGGAAGCCCGATGAGGGGCTCGATCCCAGGACCCTGGGATGATGACCTGAGCTGAAGGCAGACTCTTAACCAACTGAGTCATCCAGGTGCCCCTATTTTTAACTTTTGAGGAGCTTCCACACTGTCTTCCACAGTGGCTGCACCAGTTTGCATTCCCACCAACAGTGCATGAAGGTTCTTTTTCTCCACATCCTCGCCAATACTGGTTTCTTGTGCTCTTGATTTAGCCATTCTGATATGTGTGAGGTAACGTCTCATTATGGTTTTGATTTGCATTTCCCTGATGAGTGATGTTGAGCATCTTTTCATGTCTCTGTTGGCCATGTGTAGGTCCTTCTGTGGAGAAATGTCTGTTCATGTCTTCTGCCCATTTTTTAATTGGAATATTTGTTTTTTGGGTGTTGAGTTGTGTAGGTTTTTTTTTTTTTTAAGATTTTATTTATTTGACAGAGAGACACAGCGAGAGAGGGAACACAAGCAGGGGGAGTGGGAGAGGGAGAAGCAGGCTTCCCGCTGAGCAGGGAGCCCAATGCGGGGCTCGATCCCAGGCCCCTGGGATCATGACCTGAGCCGAAGGCAGACGCTTAACGACTGAGCCACCCAGGCGCCCCGAGTTGTGTAAGTTCTTTATATAGTCTAGATATTAACCCTTTATTGGATATGTTATTTGCAAATGTCTTCTCCCATTCAGTAGGCTGTCTTTTAGTTTTGTTGGTTGTTTCCTTTGCTGTGCAGAAGCTTTTTATTTGGATGTAGTACCAACAGTTTATTTTTGCTTTTGTTTCCCTTGCTTAGGTGGACATATCTAAGATGTTGCTATAGTCGACATCAGAGAAGTTACTGCTTGTGTTCTCTTCAAGGATTTTTATGGTTTCAGGTCTCACATTTAGGTCCTTAATCCATTTTAAGCTTATTTTTGCGTATAGTGTAAGAAAGTGGTCCAGTTTCATTCTTTTACATGTTACTGTCCAGATTTCCCCAACACTATTTGTTGAAAAGACTTTTTCCCATTGCATATTCTTGCCTCTTTTGTTGAAGATTAATTGACCATATAAACATGGGTTTATGTCTGGGTTTTCTATTCTGTTCCACTGACCTATGTGTCTATTTTTGTGCCAATACCATACTGTATTGACCACTACAGCACTGTAATATAACTTGAGGGTCCAGAGAATTGTGATGCCTTCAGCTTTGCTTTTCTTTTTCAAGATTGCTTTGACTAAACAGGTCCTCTTCTGGGTCCATACAAATTTTAGGATTGTTTGTTCTAGTTCTGTGAAAAATGCTATTGGTGTTTTGATAGAGATTTCTTTATAGAGATTACTTTTTTTTTTTTAAAGATTTATTTATTTATTTGAGAGAGAGAGAATGAGAGAGAGTACATGAGAGGGGGGAGGGTCAGAGGGAGAAGCAGGCTCCCCGCTGAGCAGAGAGCCCGATGCGGGACTCGATCCCGGGACTCCAGGATCATGACCTGAGCCGAAGGCCGTTGCTCAACCAACTGAGCCACCCAGGCGCCCAATATAGAGATTACTTTAAATGTGTAGATTGCCTTGGGTAGTATAAACATTTTAACAATATCTGTTTTTCTAATCTATGAGCATGCAATGCCTTTCCATTTTTCAAAGTAGGATCCACATCCAGCGTGGAGCCCAATGTGTAGCTTGAACTCACAACGCTGAGATCAAGACCTGAGCTGAGATTAAGAGTTGGACGCTTAACCAACTGAGCCACACAGGAGACCCTATCTTTCCATTTCTTTCTTTCTCTTTTTTTTTTTTTTTAAGATTTTATTTATTTATTTGACAGAGACAAAGCGAGAGCAGGAACACAAGCAGGGGGAGTGGGAGAGGGAGAAGCAGGCTTCCCGCTGAGCAGGGAGCCCGATGCGGGGCTCGATCCCAGGACCCTGGGATCATGACCTGAGCCGAAGGCAGATGCTTAACGACTGAGCCACCCAGGCGCCCCCCTATCTTTCCATTTCTTTGTGTCATCTTCAATTTCTTTCATCAATATTTTAGAGTTTTCAGAGTATAGGTCCTTTGACCTCTTTGGTTAGATTTATTCCCAAGTACTTTACTATTTTTGGTGCAATTGTATATGGGATTGTCTTTTTGTTTTGTTTTCTTAATTTCTTTCTGCTGCTTTATTATTAGTGTATAAAAATGCAACAAATTTCTTTTTTTTTTTTTTTTAAAGGAAATAAACAGTACGATGGGGAGACGAAAAAGGCAAGTTAGACTTGAGGTTTTTTTTTTTTTAAGATTTTATTTATTTATTTGACAGAGACACAGTGAGAGAGGGAATACAAGCAGGGGAAGCGGGAGAGGGAGAAGAAGGCTTCCCACTGAGCAGGCAGCCCGATGCAGGGCTTGATCCCAGGACGCTGGGATCATGACCTGAGCCGAAGGCAGACACTTAACGACTGAACCACCCAGGCGCCCCATGCAACAAATTTCTTTACATTGATTTTGTATCCTACGATCTTACTAAATTCATTTATTAGTTCCAGTAGTTCTTTGGTGGCATCTCTAGGGTTTTCTATATATAGTGTCATGTCATCTGCAAATAGTGGAAGTTTTACTTCTTCCTTACCAATTTGGATGCCTTTTATTTCTTTCTGTTATTTGTTTATTTCTGATTGCTGTGGCTAGGATTTCCAGTTCTTTGTTGAATAAAAGTGGTGAAAGTGGACATCCTTGTCTTGTTCCTGACCTCAAGGGAAAAGTTCTCAGTTTCCCCCCCTTTCAGTATGGTGTTAGCTGTGGGTTTTTCATATGAGGCCTTTATTATGTTGAATTATGTTCCCTGTAAACCTACTGTGTTGAGGTTTTTTTTTTTAATATCATGAATGGATGTTATATTTTGTCAAATGCTATTTCTGCATCTTTTGAAATGATATGATTTTTATCCTTTCTCTTATTGATGCTGGTATATTACACTGATTGATTTACAAATATTGAACCAGGCTTGCATTCTGAGTTAAATCCCACTTGATTGTGGTGAATGATTTTTTAATGCACTGTTGGATTCAGTTTGCTAATATTTTATTACGGATTTTTCTATCTATGTTCATCAGAGATTTTGGTCTGTAGGTCTCATTTTTTGTAGTGTCTTTATCTGGTTTTGGTATCAGGGTAATACTGGCCTCATAAAATGAATATGGAAGTTTTCCTTCCTCTTCTATTTTTTGGAATAGTTTGAGAAGAATAGGTACTAACTCTTCTTTATTTTTTAAAACAAGATTTATTTATTTATTTATTAAAGAGTGCAAGAGCGGGGGGGGGGCAGAGGGGGAGAGAGAGAGAGTCCTAAGCAGACTCTGAGCTGAGTGCAGTGCCCAACACAGGGCTCAATCCGACGAATGTGAGATCATGACCTGAGCCGAAATCAAGAGTCGGATGTGTAACGGACTGAGCCACCAAGATGCCCCCTTACTCTTTAAATGTTTGGTAGAATTCACCTGTGACGCTGTCTGGTCCTGGACTTTTGTTTGTTGGGAGTTTTATGATTAGATTCAATTTCATTGCTGATAATTGGTCTGTTCAAATTTTCTATTTCTTCCTGCTTCAGTTTGGTAGGTTATATGTTTCTAGGAATTTATCCATTTCTTCTAGGTTGTCCAATTTGTTGGCATATAATTTTTCTCAGTATTTTCTTACAATTGTTTGTATTTCTGTGGTGTCAGTTATTATTTCTCCTCTTTCATTTGTGATATTGTTTGAGTCCTTTCTTTTTTTTTTTTTTTTTGGATGAATTTGCTAGAGGTTTATCAATTTTGTTGATTTTTTTTCAACGAAGCAGCTCCTGGTTTCATTAATCTGTTCTACTATTTTTTTTTTTAGCTTCTATGTCAGTTATTTCTGCTCTAATCTTTATTATTTCCTTCTGCTGGTTTTGGGTTTTGTTTGTTCTTTTGTGAGCTCCTTTGGGTGTAAGGTTAGGTTGTTTATTTGAGATTTCTCTTGCTTTGTGAGGTAGGTCTGTATTGCTATAAACTTCCCTCCTAGAACAGCTTTTGCTGCATCCCAAAGATTTTGGACCGTTGTGTTTTCATTTTCATTTCTCTCCGTGTACTTTTTGATTTCTTCTTTGATTTCTTGGTTGACCCATTCATTGTTTAGTAGCATGTTATTTAACCTCCATGTATTTGTGGTATTTCCAGGTTTTTGCTTGTGGTTGACTTCAAGTTTCATAGTGTTGTGGTCAGAAAAGATATATAGGACTTCAATCTTTTTAAATTTGTTGAGACTTATTTTGTGGCCTACTATGTGATCTATTCTGGAGAATGTTCCGTGTGCACTTGAAATGAATGTGTATTCTGCTGTTTTAGGTTGGAATGTTCTACATATATCTTAAATCCATCTGGTCCAATGTGTCATTCAAGGCCACTGTTTTCTTGTTGATTTTCCGTTTGTTTCCATTGATTTAAGTGTTACCCATTCTCTTTTAATAAATTCTCCACATTATAGCCTGAGTGATTTTTTTTAAAAACATAGGTCTGAAATAACAATTAATAAGAACAACACTATTTATGGAGTCCTTATTTAATGTGCCAAGCACTGTTCTAAGCATTTGTGTACTAACCTATTCCCTATTCAATCACCATTGTTCCTTTCTAGCTTTGGTTTCTCTTTTTTTGGGGGGGGGGGGCGGCGCGAGGTGTCCGCGACCAAATTTATCCCTGAGGCCCAGCATGGGGGATCAGGGCCCATGGATCACAGTGTTTCTGTGGCAGCCTTTCAGGCCAGTGCCGGCCACAGGGTGGGCAGGCACTGAATTTGACACAGCTGCAGTGTTTTTTTTTTTTTTAATCTATAAAACAAGTTTCAAATTTCTTACCAAGGTATTCACGAACTGGACTCCAGCAATAATTGTCTTCTCTTTAAATAATAGCTTCATTGAGATATAATTCACATACCATACAATTCACCCAGTGAAAGTGTACAACTCAATGGTTTTTAGTATATTCAGAGTTGTGTAACCATCACCACAATTTTAGGATATTTTCATCACCCCAAAAAGAAACCCTATACCCATGAGCAATCACTCCACATTTCCTCCACTCCCCAAACCCTCAAACCCAAACCTCCCAGCTCTAGGCAACTGCTAATCTACTTTCTGATTCTGTAGATTTGTGTAATCTGAATAATTCATATAAATGAAATAATAACCATATATAGTCTCTTGTGACTGGCTTCTTCCATTTAGCATGTTTTTAAGCTTCACCCATGCTGTAGCATATATCAGTAATTCATTCCTTCTCATGGCTGAATAATTTTCTATTATATAGAGATATATATAGATATAGATAGAGAGAGACATTTTGTTTACTCATCAGATGATGGACATTTTGGTTGTTTCCATTTTTAAGTTATAAGGAGTAATGATACTACAAACACTCATGTACAGGTTTTCGTGTGGACATATGATTTTACTGTTCTTGGGTATATACCTAGAAGTGGAATTATTGGATCATATGATTACTCTATGTTTAACCTTTTAAAAGGAAGTGCCAGACTGTTTTCCAAAGCAGCTATACCATTTTATTTTTTTTACTCTTTTTTTTTTTTAAAGATTTTATTTATTTATTTGAGAGAGAGAATGAGAGAGAGAGAGCACATGAGAGGGGGGAGGGTCAGAGGGAGAAGCA